TCTACATTACGTATTACAAAAAAATTTTCTCATATGACATGACGATTTTTACTTATAAAAGTACTTTAAAAATTACAGTTGACTGTATAAAAAAAAAGATCGTCGCCAATCACATTTAGTTTAATTTTAGCCAATCAAAACGAACTTCCGCTATGCTGGCTTAGATTAAACGGGAAACCATCAAAATATAAAAACGTTATACTTGCGATAAAACTGTTACATAAAACTGAAATTTATTGTTTTATAAAAAGAATATGGTTGTTACGTAAACTTTGTATAGTAGATTTGGTTGGATTTGATAGATAAGGTTGGAGCTTGAAGGTTGAATATTTGGGTTAATAAGTTGGTTGATTATTGGAAGAGAGATGTTAAGATCATTTTTGATCATTGTGTATAAAATTATTATTTCGATTACGAATTTTAACTTGCCATTATTTTTGAATGTCTTCTGGACAATTAAACCATTCTTTTTCTAAATGTAATTCCATTACCGTTGATATTCCTCTTTGCATTAATGATCCGACGTCCGATTTAAATAAAATAAGTATGTATTTATTTCAAAAGAAGCGACGTGCAAATTCTATTTTTTTAAAAGTACTTACTTATTTACATAATCGTTTACCGGTGAATGTTTATCAAAAAAAGCTAATTTTATCATGATGAACCTAGTATAATCACCAAGATTATTTACGTACTGAGTTTAAATTATTTGCTGACCCATTTTTGATTATTAATAAAAATGTTAATTATCAATTATGTTGATTATTAATAAAAATTTTTCAATTTTTTTTTGTTCTGTTTTTTTTATGCTAAAGGAAAAAAATGGAGTCTAATTATTTTTTGCAACCTATTTTGAAGTATTGTTCTTCATGTCATTCTAACAAATCTGCTGATTTACTTGATACTAGTAAAAAAACTTGTTTGCTATGTTTAAATTGTTTAAATGAAGGATATAAAAGAAAGCATGAAGAACAATATATGGATAATATTTATAATAAGCAGGAGAAGGCTATTGAGCTAGAGCAAGTCGAAGATATTATTTATTAAGAATATATAAATATTAAAGAAGGTGAACTAGTAAATTTAGAAGTGGTTATAAATATTTCTAGTATGATTGATAAATTAAATGTGAACACTAGTGTATTAGCATTTGAAATTGTAAAGCTTTTTGAAAGGGCAATGTGTTTACTATATGAAAAGTTATAATCAACAAACCAAAATCATTTCATTTACTTATTGGTATAAATATCATATTGAATTAGAAACAATGAATACTAATCTTGATTAGATCATTATAATAAAATTAATTTACAAATTAAATTAGCCATAATAATATTAAAACATTTATACTTACATTTACAACTACAACAAATCAGTATTTCAAATAAAATTAAAAAATATATTTAGGTGAATTTATTATTTTCTACATCTGAATTGTATAGACAGATTACTATAAAAAAAATAGATAGTTATAAATTATTAACAGTTAAACAAATTTAGATCTAGTCTAGTATGTTGTTACAAAATATAAATATACAGATAATCAAATTGAATTAGCAAAATTATTTTTATAAAAAAAATTTTGAGTTTGACAATTTGGTAGTTGTATATACTTTTATTATTTTTTTTAGGGGTTGTCTAAAGACATGTCTAATCACGTGACTATGTGATTTAGAACATTGCTTTAGATAGGCTTTGGAAAAAACTAAACAGAAATTTTATAATATTACATATATAATCTACTAATCAAATTACAAAAATTTTATTAAGCTTCATAAATACAAAAATTTATATTTTGTATATTTTTTATAATAAAATAAATCTCTTTTCTTTTAATATATATTATTATTTAATACTTCACTATGATCAGTTTATAAAATAAATCAATTATTTTATGGTATTTTTAAATGA